AAAAAAAAAAAAAAAAAAAAAAAAAGGAATTGGAGTAATGCAGCACTGCGTACTCGGTATTAGAAACATGTTTTGTGAGCTTCAAGCGCAGTGTTATTTTTCTCTTATCTGGGCACCAACAGCTAAAAATAGCTTCTAATTAACTTGTAAAATGAATATAAACCTTATAAGTAGCATTTTGTGTTTTTTACATGCTATGTTCAGATTTTTTTCTGTGTGTTAATTGTTTGATTTTAAACGCAGTTTTTTTTAACATAGCTAGGCTACATCATGGGAATTGCATTGTACCTACTGGCACAAGTTGATTATTGGTATTTGAAGTCATAATTTTATTCATTTATTAAAATATTAATTTATATCAGATTTATCAATGATAAAACGGGGTTGAAACACTGCGCATCAGCAAACATCGCTTAAAGAAAAATATATAGCCCTACAGTGGGTCTGGCTTCAATGGAATACTGTAACCACTCCATGCACCAGCTGGTCACCTAGTACTCGTGATTCATTGTAATTCTTCAGCAATTCCCCCAGCCTTGCTCATAGAGTGATGACACGAGATAGGCAAAAGGTTCAAATTTAAATTCCCGAGAATTCCCATTTCACGCACGCATGATTCACCGTTGACTTTCCGGTGGTCCCGCTTTGAAGTTGAAATGGGTGCATACTGGCGAGAGATGTTACGCGTAATGGCATAATGGGCGCATTAGGAAGATCAAACGGCGTAACGCAGAGCGCGATAAGTTGGTAGATGAGAAAAGACATGGAATGGGAATGGACATAATTAACTGCTATTTAAGTGCATAGTAATTAATGTGTGTGTGTGTGTGTGTGAACGAGAAACGTGGGACGCGGTTTTAGGAGTGACAGGCTCCTAGCCAGCAATTTCAAAGGGGGGGGGGGGGGCTTTTTCTTTTTTTTTCTTTTTTTTTTTTTTTTGCCATATAATCCCCATGTACCTAGGTCAAATTTTACCCAGAGTGGACCTTTTTCCAGCAAAAAGAGGGGTTCTTTCGAACCCCCCAAACCCCCCTGGCTACGGGCCTGGACAATTAGGTCTACATGTATAACCTTCGTGTATGTACAGGAACATTCTTGTAATGTTACATGCATGTGCGTTACATTCTTGCAACGTTGTTGGGCAAGTATAGGTCCGAAAACTGTTATCAACGACGAAGTTCAATAGAAAAATATTTCGAAATGTGACATTTAACAAACAGATGAAATGAAATAACCAATCAAATAAACCACAATGATAAAAGAAACCATTTGCAGTCAAATTCTTGATGTGTTACTCCAAAAACACGTGTACATATTAAGGGAATATCATATTACATGTAGTTTTGGTAATTGTACAGAGAATAATGGTACAAAGAAACCCACATTTAAGCTTATTTACATAAATGAATAATTGAAAAAGTTAATACAGATATGAGTGAATAGATAATAAATGATCAAGTTATTGAATCAAGAACTCAGTCAAAAGATTAATGTATCAGACTCGATACATAAAATAAACAACAAAAATTTATGATTAAATCATAGAGACAGATTGATAAATCAAAATGCAAGCATCATATTCATATTGTTATAATGTTTTATCGTAATACGCAAATCTATGTACTTTTTTATGTCCTTACATACATGTGACGCTTTTCTATCCTCAAGGGAAAGTAGCAAAACATTTTTTTTATTATGTGCACAATCAAGCCGGCTCCTATACTACCTGTTTTTTTTTCTCTTTCTTTTTTTCTTGCTTAACATAACAGCTTTACTGAACTTCAAATACAAGCGTTAAAACAAAGACAGTTAGTCATGTGTCTTAATGCCAACCAAATATGTAGGTGTCTCTACAATGAGCTATATTTTTTTTAGTGAGAGTGATTTTTTTTCACACCATATTGTCAAGGTCAGTCGTGGTATTCACACTATACTGTATTTGTCATTTATCTAATCGTGTTTGCTCTTAATTATTATAACTTATAACCTTAACCTTATGTTTTTTATAAAGTACAATATCTGGTGACTTGTACATGTACGCCCATGTGTCCGGCTGATTTATAAACTTATAATTACTCACATGTCACAATGATAAAAAATACTACTATACAACTCGTTGCGGGTCATTTTTTATTCGAATGCTTTACAATCTACCGTGGATTTAATTATGCTTTCTTTTTTCTGTGGTTTTATCTTAGTTTTTTTCCCAGTGCAAAGGAATTTTTGATCCTCTTAAGCAGAATTCACGCAAGCCAAAGACAGACGAAGAGAAGCAAACGACCCGGATAGGAAAGAGTAAGATTTCTAATAATTTCTTTGAATCCAATAACTAGAATTTTTCAAATTTTGCTAAAACGGGGTTAGTATTATTTATACTGTAATGATGATAAAATAAATCGGATCTAAAGGGACTCAACGAGCTTACATCACTGTGCCAGTTATGTGAACAACGCTTTTTGATGAAGGGTAAACTCCTCATGCCATCAAGGTAAAAACACGCTTAATCGCTTTAGAAACGTTCAAGATTTTTTCTATCAATTAAAAACTTGTGCACATGTATATAATAACTGATCAAATGCGGCGATAAAAAATTCTTAATTTTTTTGACCAAATAAGAACATTTTACCAAGAGCTGAATATCACATTGTAACTGTACTTGAATGAGTTTAGAAAAACTGAACAGTGAAATAGCGCGCCTACCTTGTAAGAAAATCGTCAGAGAATGCCGTCATATTTGAACCTGTTGCGAAGTCGATGCCGAATAATCCGGGGACGCACAGTTACGCTATCCACCCCGATAAGCTTTTTCTTCTAAAAATACGAAGCTGAGTCTCTGAGTACTCGGTAGTCAATGGACGACAGTGTCTTGTCGTACCCTATGGTTTGTCATTCAAAGTCAGGCTCCTTTATCGAGAGTTTGATTGCTTGGGGAAAAATTCAGAATGCAGATTTTCCTAGAAATTTACCTGATAGCAAATTTGTTCTCTACGGAGGGCAAGTGTCCGTTGTTATGTTGTACAATGCCCCAGTGAAATGAATTAAGCGGCAATGAAGCTTAATGTCCATCGATTGGAAAATTAACTCCAAAAGAAAAAAAATGTAACCTCAAAGCGTTCCCACAGACCAGGCGGTCATCAAAATCAAAATTTCTCCCACTCTTGACATACAATAATCTTCAACAGCATTCTGAGCCCAACATGGCGTTCAGTAGTTCAGGAGAGAATGGGACAGAGGGAAAAAAATCGGCAGACGACACAACAGTGAACAGGGTGAACTGTGAGCTCGCGCCGAGGTAAATAAAAGGGGTAGTCAAGAAATGTCACAGCGACGGGAACTTCGTCATGAATCAAGACGCCATAAAGATGGGCCGTGGCCGCGAGCTCTTGTCTAATACGATAGTACACACTACTGTGAGAGCGACGGAGCCTCTCAAGCAGACGACATCTTTGGGCGCAGACGATCAAAGAACTGTGGCATTGCTAGTGTTACATTTCAAGGAATTTTGTCGAATGTGTCTTTGAGACTTCTGTGTTCGATGTCATCTGTAATAATGTGATAATTTCTCTAACTTAGGACTGGCCTTTACCAAATTATTTCATGAATGTCTCTCAGTGCATGAAATGGTACTTGTATAACTTGGTATTTTAAGATCATCAACATTAACAAAAGACAAATGTTACGGTTTCTGTTCCTGCCTCTACTATCATTTGTCTTGTTTTTCTCTTTTTAGGAAATTCAGCTTTTCCCACGAACACCACTCTTGGTTGATGAATTAAAGTGATCTAATCTTGGTACAAATGACCCTGTTTTTACAACCTTAACAACAGAACTTTTCGACCATATCAATTTGGCAGTGTAATTCAAGTCGTTTTGCTACGATTTATCTTACTTTTTATTTATTTATTTTTTTCATCATCATCAAATAAAAGTTTGTATTTTTAGACCTTTAAAGGTTTCCATGTGTGTGGAGTGAATGGGTTATTTGGATGATGGGTTATAAGTTTTCGTTTTTCCAAACTTTATAAGGCGGGACTTTATAACAAATAATATTTGCCCTGCGAAAGTCAAGTAGAAAACATTTATAGACCTTAACTTTAAGTTAGAAAACACCAGTAGGCAAGACTTCATAAATGATATGCATTGCATAGCGAGACCGGTCGAAAATATCCGGACATTGCCGAGGTTCGTGTAAGAGGCTTCGTTAACACGGTAGCGCCTAATATTCATCACATTCGTTATCTAATTTATCCCTTTATGATCTACTCAAAGAGGCGCCGCGTAAATATGCCACTTACGGGCCCCTCAAGAGTATCTTGGAGAACGCAAGAGCTGACGTTAAATCGGGAGTTTATCGTTCCTCCGTCAACTTACCTTATCTCTGAAGCTAATATTTGGAAGTCGTTAAGTTATAAAGCCGCCATTTGAGCTGTTTTGGACAAACTTTAAGAACGCGTTTCTCCGTTAGCTCGATATAGCTTGAGTGGGGCTAGTTTTAACCGTTGTAAAGGTGTTTGAGACTATTTGTTTTTTTGAATGGTCGACCGTGGGAATCGTATGCCGTGAGTCGTGTATCGTCTGCCTCACTGCGTTTAACAACGGAAAACCTAACATTTCAATAAATTGACATTGTTATTAAAATATTTTGCTTAAATGCTGTGTAAATATATATTTATAAATCTTACACTGTTACCAATGATGTGTTAAGTCATGATGACTTCTGAAATTTTCGAACGCTTATTCTTTTCAAGCAACACGCTGTTAAATGGGGTGACAAAGTTAATGTATTGAAGCGGAAGTGCAATAAATAACTGTTCATTCTACACCAGTACACGACAAACACTGGAAAAGGAAACGCATAGAAAAAAAGGCGTTTCACCAAAGAAAAAATAATAAATTTAGTTTAATATACATTACCTGTTAAGTAAAAATAGACATCATATTCTGTTTACATCATTGTATAAAGCACACAGTCATTCGGACCTATGCATTATCATCGTTATCTATCTATAACTTCACCAATCGCTATCAAACGGAATTTGTCTTGAACAGAAGTGATTTAGATAAAATGATTTAGCTGTGAAATGTATACCGGTTTAGGCTTTGAATTATTGGGAATGATTGTACTACATGTAACTACAGTAATAACAGCGACAGGACATTTTGCCTTCTGCTACTAACTTTACAACCAATAGCGCATTGAAAAAAAAAAAAAAAAAAAAAAAAAACAAGCAAGGTACGGTTTAAATCGAGAAATCGAGGACACTCTTTAAACCGACAAAACGGGTGGATCAACCAATACAGTGGCGGATTTAGGGGGATGGGGGGATTGGGGTCCTGACTCCCCCCTTCGATTTCTGAAACAAAAAATCACACCAATGGTCTCCTCTTAAAATTAGAATTTTAACTAGCTGAATCATAGTTCTAAA